TTGCTGAAAATTTAAATAAAAAGGCCTGGGGATCGTTTAAATACTATGAGGATACTGTATAGTATGCATAAAATCTTAATTAAGATTCTAGTTACCAAATTTTCAAATAATGGTTTTAATTGATATTTAGGTGTATATTATTACAATAATGATTTCTAAATGAAAAGTCATTTGATTAGATGATGAAGACACCTCAATCTAAATCTTACGACTAAAATGACAAAGACGTTCCGGACCAAATCTGAAGACCTTGTACATTAAAAAATTCTATATCAAAGAGAAATAAATTTTCTAATGTAGTTGCCCTCGAGACGGTCCTGATTTTGACCCCAAAAGATCAACATAAATCGCCGTTTTCAGACCTTCTATTCTTAAAAAAGAATATTGTACTGTGTAAATGTTTACCGACCTTTCACTAAAAAGAACCTTATATACAGGATGTAACAGAAACTTGCGACAAACTTTCCGTATAGAAATAAGCAGAAAGAGCAAGTGTAACATCGATAAAACATTTCAATTTCATTTTCAATAACGCAGAATTTAAAAATAGGATTAAATTTTGAAAGATTGTCGCGAAATCGCTCTGCTTCGAAATAACAAAGATATTCTACAATATTTCAGGACAGAAACCCCTACGTACTTAAAAAGAAAAGAAAAATTGACACAAATTATTCGGAAAGTTACATTTTAACAGTATTCTCATGCACGATCGGAGATATGAAATATTCTTTCGAATTACCTCATCTAGAAACGTGTAGGCGTGATAAATTTCACGAAACAAACGAGAAGCGGGCTTTTGCAGCTGTACGACGAAGGCTACGTTCGAAAAAGTGTATAACAGATAACGCTGAAAGTCCGTAATGCTGAAAAATTTAAATGATTTAATAAGGATGTCCAGCCCACAAACAGAATATTTCACGAGGTGTATGTGGCCAACAGATGCTGTTGCGACTGGACTGACCTAATTTTCGTTAAAGTATATACAGGGTGGCTTTTTAAAACGGGCCCATGAATGTGACATTTGTTAACGTAGACGCAACAAAAAATGTTGTTATAACAAAAAGTTAGAACTTATACTTATAGATTTATCAGAAATTTTATATAAAATGTTCAAAGTGTCAAGACTGGAAGAAAACGGTTGTCTTACATGCGCATGCGCACTGAGACAAATTCTGGTTTATTCCGGAAAATTTTTAAGTTAGGCCTTAGTTACAGTAAGTGATAAATAGCAGCTGACTACTCCCAACTGAATAAATTACAAGAAAGTCCATTAATTTAGCCGAGCAAAGCAACTCACTCAAAACACATCGATAATTGAACAAGTGAGCTGCTAAATAGGGACAAGACATTTTTTTGTTGGTACATTTCAGCAAAACGCATTTACTTAATAAAAACATGACTTTTTTGTTGTCTTTGCTAATATTTTATTAAATATTCCAGTAAAACGAATGATTTCTTTCATTATAAGTAGTTATTTGTAGATACCTACACTATAAGATTACGTAATTTCTATAGAATCCTCTGTGACACAAATTCTTTAAAAGAAAACAAGGAAGTTGTCATCTTTAATTACTCTGCTTTTCTGAAATAAGAATCCTTTCATCCTTCTTTATTACACAAAAGGGCTAAGACAAGTAAACTGTCAGCTTTAGTTAAGTTACGCCTTACGAGAAGAAAAATAGATATGATAACCTTTTATCTTTTGTTACATCGTTCCAACATTTAATAAATATACATTTTTAGGTGCTTTTATAATTGTTTATGAAAACTACGAAATGTAAAATATTTAAATAACGATCTCTCTATGCTACGTTTATGTAAATTACTACTTACATTTTTCGCAACTATAAATAATTTACTCATTAACGTTGAATCCAGAACGAAGTCAATATAAAGAAAAGTAACATAGTTCTACAAAGGCAACGCAGCTGAGAGAAATATTAGCTACAGAGAGAAAATTATTCAATTCTGAAAGATAAACAAGCTTCTTTGTTAGCCATCTACTTTGAGAAAATGAAACTTTAATATTCATAAGAGTATTCTCTGGTTTTAATTAATGTTGTTATTATTCCAAAATCTTCATAGGATACAGAAATAGACGTATTATATGAAGTTAAATTCTACAGATCCTTGGATTTGGTTGGGAAATTTTTTACTTTATATAGTTCTTTACAGTATATCTACAGGGTGATTTAGGATAGTGTACCATTTAGATTTAAATTAAAAGTAAATAAAACACAAAAATATATAAAGTTTAATTCTAGTTATTAGACTGGAAATTGTAGAACTATAAGTCTGTTTAGAAATGAAATAGAGTAATAAAAGCTTATTATGTATGCAAATCGTAAATAAATGTAGTACTGGTGCTTATATTCAATATTTTTATATTATGTTTTATCGGTATAGATGAGGTGTACTTTTAAAAAAACTTTGTGTGACCGGGTTGTACTAAATTGTAGCAGGTAGCTAAAATTTAATCCCCGACAATCCGTCTTTGTCTATGCCGCTTCAATTTCTCGGTCCATTTCTCTTATAAGTAAACAATATAAAAACAGCATTTCAAAACATGAGGCTACTTTAAGCATCATAACCGGGTTAAGAGGGTTTTTAGTAATTCAAATAAAATTATTCAATATTATTATCAAAATATTTATTTAAATTTAATGAATAGACTTTTATTCCACACAAAAATATATGTATTTTGAAAATTCAAATTATGGTGAGTAAATGTAGTGTTGTATAAATGTACAATAAAGAAAATAAAAAAGTAGGTATATTAAAATTCATCCTCTGAATATTCTGATGAATTATCTTCGTCTCCTAGATTGATAACGATAGGTTCCACAGTAACGTCAATTAAATTATCGAGTTCCCACATTTTCTCCTCTTCTTTTTGTACATGATGTATACATCTTTGCCAGTTATCTGCAGTTACTCGTTCCAAGGAATTTTTTAACAAAATTTTCACGTCACTTAATTTAAACGTCGTATTATTTCGCGCTACATCTCCTTTTACCTGCGCCCAGACTAATTCGATTGGGTTAAGTTCACAGTGATAAGGTGGTAACCGTAGTACCGTTATTTGGCGATTTGTTGCCATTTCATCGATAACATATTTTTTCTGATCTTTATTAAGATTGACAAGTGTCAAAAGTTCCTTTTTCACCATATTTGTTTCAAAAGAAATGTTTTTTCCGGATAACCATTGAATTATATCGGCTTTCCTCCAAGCAGTCGTAGGCGTCCGCTCGGTCTGCCGTGAATGGTAACTGGCATTATCCATGACAATTACAGACCCCGGAGGAATAAGATCCAACATCTGTGTAAAATACTCTTCGAAAACATCTGCGTTCATGTCTTCGTGATAGTCACCTGTATTTTTAGATTCAAATAAAAGTAAACCGCCATCTACAAAACCACTGGCACTACCTATATGTGTCACTATTAATCTTCGCCCTTTACCTGAAGGTGCCTTGAACCCTGTTGAAAGTCCATCCAAAAATGCTTGTCGAAAACTTTTTACATTTTTATCTTGCCATACTTTTGTTACAGTATATCCCTCGTTGACCCAAGTTTCGTCTAGATAATAAATATTCCTCCCTTCGTCACGGAATTTTCTAATTGATCTTAAGTAGGATCTTCGCCAACAAATAATTTCATCTTTATCGATAAGAACTGACTTCCTGTTCTGCTTTTCCCAGCAAAAATTCAACTCTCGTAAGACGGCCCATAATTTGCTTCTACTGATTTTTGGCAAATCGTTGTCCTCTGAAAGTTCACTTAAAATTTTGTTTAGCGTTGGTATTTCTTTTTTAAAATAAAATGAGTGTACTTTTCTGCGAATGACATTTTTGAAGAAATCATCTATAACGACTTTTGACCTCCCTGTAGATGATTTTGGGGGATTTACAGTATCTTGTTCATTTTTTGTTTCCTTTAAAAGTCTGTAGATAGTCGATTTTCCAATCCCTGTCATTTTTGTTAGCATTAGTGTTACCCGATAATTACCTGAAACGAAATATTACCACGCCCATGGCCGGTTCTTATCTCGGGGTTTTATTACTCTCTTTCATTTCCAAACAGACTATAGTCTTACATTTAATTTAGCAAATACTTAAAAGGCGTAAAATTTCCACTATTTCTCCCAACACCCTTTTAGATTCACTACAACATTTTGTTCACCAAATTCATTACCGTCAGGAAGTAAATGGTGAACACTTTGAGCACCTTATAAAATAGAATTCCAAAGAAAATATTTGTTGTTTATTAAGACTTGTTTTCTCTCTTTTTTTATTCTGGCATAGCTCACTCATTAAAAAATACATTGTTTTGTTTCATGCATTTTTTTCGACCCTGTACTATTATGCTTTTTTATTTTCTGTAAGAAACTAATAATAAAATCAAAAGATATCCATATCCTCTACCTTGTGTTATTTTCAAAATAAGTATCCGTAATTTGGGGCTTTTTTCTTTTATAGCTTTGAGTTTTGAGAGTAGAAAAAAGTTACTTTCAAAGTTCGATATCTCGATGAGTTTTTGACTGATACATAATTTTTTTTATAGTAATAGATTAAAAAAAAAACAAAAACGTTTGTATCTCACTCCTCGCTGTCGACTAGGCTAGCCTCACTCTCCCATCTACATCGGGCAACATCGCTTCCAGCCTCAGTCGAACCAAATTACCAAACTTATTAATCAGTTATTAAATGTTCGATGAATTCTGATATTAATAAGACTAACCACCCATAGTGGAGTTAGATTTATTTGTAATAGATATTTTTAGTGAATAAAATGGGATCGTTACAAATAAACAATTTTTTTTAATTTATTTTTTTATAAATTCTACCAATATGTCCTACAGTTGTCGACTGTATTGAAATTTAGCCGACACATGTTTTGAAAGGACCCGAAGACAAAAACAATCTTATTTCTGACGATTTATAACCCCCAAGTTTGTTATGCTGAGAGCCTGTTTTACTGTACTTTTCTTTTTCTTTCAGGCTTATCTTTTTGAGGATCCTCCACGGGAGTATGACCTCAGCCAGGACCACTCAGTATTGCACCTTCCAAAAGGACAAGCTCAAGTGCCACGAGCACCTGCCCAACATTCCCTATCCGAGCAACATAACGGTCCTGGAACTGTCGGACCTGAACTGGGAGATTCTTGACTTGAACAACATCGCGAATAAGTTTCCCAATCTTCAGCGTCTGTCCGTAATTGGAAGGAACATCGTAAGAGTGGTACCACCAGAGAATGAAACCAGTATAAAGGTAAGCTTGTCTGAATAGTTGTCAAAGGAAAAGTGGGAAAAATTCGGAGCAGGATTCCAGATTAAAATTCAGTGATTAAAAAAATAATGTATTTTGACAAATCTTCTATATTTTGGATGGCTTCAAATACCAAATTAGTTAAGTATAAGCACAAATTAAGATAAGACAAATAAGCGTAATATTTTATTTCAACTGGAAAAATTCTTCAAATTTTTCATGACTAAACAGCGAAAAGAAAGGAAGTGTCAGTGCTCTTTATAGGCTATTGATTATAGGATTTTAAAAGGAACTAAGACGTTCAAGATATTTTATTACATGAATCGTTCAAATGGTCATTTTAGATGAAAAAACCGCGGAGTGGTTTATTTATATTTTTTTATTATTTTTTTCTTTTTTGACTCTTAGGTTGTGAAAATCTTTATTTTTTATTAACAAATAAAACTTTTGAAATAATTTTTTATTAAGTAAAGTACTAATTTGTTGTAAAAATAATAAGAATTATAATCATTATGTTTAAAACGACAAAAATCTAAAAAATATTTAAGTTTGACCAGTTATAACTCAATCAATGTTAGTCCAAAAACTTTTGAAGATGCATCATTTTGAAGGGAATCTCATCTAGTTACTTTGTACAGCAATTTTCTTTGCTTACTTCTACTAAAAAAAAATAGTCAAAAAAGTAAAAAAAATCAAAAAATCTTATTTTTTGCTTTTTTAAAATTGTTTATTAACGATTTTTTGCATACAATTTTTCTTTTAAATTTATTGAATAAGCCATTTCGATGCGTGAAATTCAATTTTCCACAAAATTTTTCCTATGAATTATAGCGAAATTTTTTTTCGTTTTCGTGCTATATTTAAAAATCTGCAAAAGTGCAGTTTCACCCCTTTCTTCAATTTTAACCCTCTAATTTAATAACGCTTCGAACAAGTCATTTGATGAAAATCCTTGAACGTCTTATTTCCTTCCTTTTGTGCAAAAAATGAGAATTAAAACGTATAAGGGTAAACGCGACGAAAATCGAAAATTGGCTAATTGTAAGTTTGAGCGGCCATATATCACTCAATTTTCATCCAAAAGTACTTTACAACCTCTTATTTTGAAGGAAATTTTATCTACTTTTTTTCTATGGAGCAATGCCTATACTTATCTTTACTCAAAAGAAAACTAGAGGCAAGAAGTAAAAAAATTAAAAAATCGAATTTTTTGCTTTTTTTCAAATGGCTTATTAACGATTTTTTGCATAAAATTTTCCTTTTAAATTTTTTAAATAAGTCATTTCGATGGAAAATTCCATTCTCTAAATAATTTTTCCTATGAACTATAGTGAAATTTTGCTTTGTTTTCGAGCTACAATTCAAAACTGGAAGGGGTGCATTTTCACACTTATCTCCAATTTCCACCCTCTAATTTAATAGCACTCCGCGATTTTTTCATCTAAGATGACCCTTTCAACGATTCATGTAATAAAATTGCTTGAATGTCATAATTCCTTTTTCCCTATTTTTTTGGAAATCACATCAGGAGTGCCAACTTGACGCCGCTTGGACGCACTAAAGGGTTCCAGGAAAAGATCCACGACAGATTGGCGCCAAGGACCAGATACTTATACTTGCGAACGACTCTCCAGCGAACGTTCGCCTCGACAACACTTCTTTTTCACTAACATTGTTTTCAATAAAAAATACTTTTATTTTTACCCTTGAGAGACAGTTTTATTTTGCTGCACACCAAAAGCGACCCTCTTTTATTCTCCTATTTCTTTTTTTAATGAAAAAACCTGTTCTATGTGAACTTTGAACGCCATTTTGAAAATGAAGCCCTAACATTCAACTGGGTTAAAATAGTTCATTCGATTCAACGGAATTTTTCCTAATTTTTACGTGTCTGACTGGCCTAGAATAGGAATATAAGCCTACTGAAACATGTGCCGGAGGCTACTCCGTGATCTGAGAGATATTTTGATACAAACGCCGACTAAAGTACGACTAAAACAACAGCTGCAGTAGTTTACACAAAGCGTAAATTATAGCAGTTCATTTGTATCTCTGTAACTAGGATCGTTACAGGGATGGTTCCACAATTACGGTTCTGTAAATATGTTACTGACAGGTTAATAGTTGCTTATAGAATTACTTTATAGAGAAAGACAGAATCGACCTTCTAAGTTTATTTCAATCGGTTCATTTGAGCGAAAGTTATCAGGAGAATACTACACAAATAATTTCCTGCTAAATACACAAGCGATGTTTACCGTTGTCTAGATAATGAGTTTTCCTTTTTTTTTCATTTGTAGGTACTGGAATTGAGACGTTTGACGATAACAAACATCAGCTCCACGTTGCTAAGTAACTTTCCCAGCATCGAGGATTTAATCCTCGAAGGAAACCACTTGTATTCCCTCGACAAGAATTTTTATTTGGGGCCCCTGCAAAGGATATATCTCAAACGTAAGTTGTTTATTAAATTTGGAGAAGTTTATATTGAATATAACAGAAAATGTAGCGTAAAGATATTATCGGGTAAAAGTCGTTGGAAATAAGCTTTTATATGTACAGGGTGTAGATTAATAAGTGTGGAAAAAATTGAAGTGATTCCTCGTTGAAAACTAAGGGGAGAATTTTTACGTAAAAACATCTCTCCCGCCCCTTCCTGCTGATTTATGGTCCTTCAAATTGGGATTAAGTTTTTATTTTTTCCCTGAAATACGGAGTTATAAAAACGAAATTACGTTTATTTTTTCTGCTGTCGCCAATAATTTGACAGTAACAGGACAGCAGAATATTTATTGGTCATAAATCCCTTATTTGTTTTTAATAGCGATTTCCTGGCAAACGGTTACATTTATCGGCTTGAACAAAGAGTACCTACATATTTTTTTCTGATATTGTTTCTCTTTCCAATAATGTATAAATTTCTGTGATGTCTAGCAAGAGAAAAAATTTATGAAAACAAATTTCGAGTTCTAGGTAATGTGCCCTCTAGCGGTGCATAATGAAACTTTTCTCTGACTGGTCCAATAGAGCTTGATCTACTTAGTGGGTGTGCCAAATGAGAGACTAATCTGAACTTGAAATTAAATAAATTATTTAAATAGAAAAATAAAAAAAAAATTAACTTGACTATAACTTTGACTTGCAAATAATTGACAATTCGAAAAAAATGTTCATTACATACTGCTTATTATTTGATTGCTAATACATCAACTCCTGTATTAGCCAGTAACGTTGCCGATGTTCTTCGGAATGAATGGCCTGTATATGTTTCAGGGTGTTCTAGTTTTAAAAACTGTGCAATCTTATTAGGAATCGTAGAAATGGTATTCTTTAGAAACACTAGTATTTTTGTTCTGGCTCCATACTTTGAAATTTCTATATGCTCGTCCGTAGCGTACTTTCGACTTCTCGGGCAATAAAAATTCGCAGGCAGCATTTGCTGCACTTTCTATTTGAAAATCACTCATTTATAAATAATAATAATTCAAAACCAACAAAATTGCAACTTTTATGTAGCAACCTTAGCAACTACACAAATCCAAACAACCAAGAAGACTGCAAGATTTCGAATAATGTCAAAATGAGTTGCTTAAGAAATGTCAAAAAATAAAACCTAATCTTTATTTCATAAACCATAAAGAACTGTGGGAGCAGATAAAAAATTGTACACCACGCAGCAGTTAAGTATAATTTACCAGTCTCGGACTCTATTGCCAGCCCTCGCTCCGCTCGGGCGCAAAATCGTCCTCGACTAATATATAATACTTACCTTCACTATGGTGTAAATAACTATTATTATTTGTCTGTGTTCTGAATTTTTAGCTACTTTGTTCTGAAAATAAGAAATTAAAAGTTGGCGTTGTATTTTCAGCGGCACGGCATATACCTAGATTGTAGACCAAGACATATGCTATTTGAATATTCCCCTAGACAGTCCCATACGTTCCAAAGTGTACGAATATATCATCGAGCCGGAACTGATGATATTGCGATCGTTTTCTCACTTTTCTTATTCCGTCTTTCTCCTACTCGAACTATCCGTGATCCAGTTATATTTTAAAACAAGAGAGGAATTTCGACCCACTTGATCGCTACTTCAAATGAGAATAAAAGCATCGAATGGGAATCATAAAACAACAAGTATAGGGTGCCACAAAAAACTGAAGATGAATAAATGGTGTATATTTAAATTTACTTTTGTTGTTTTACTTATCTAGTATCTTGATATTTTCAGACAATAAATGGAAATGCTCAGAGGATCTGGAATGGGTCTTAAATTTAAACAGGACCATTGTCCAGGACATCGACGAACTAGTTTGCCATGGAATACCCCATTCTGGGAAACCGCTTTTTCCCATTGCTCAGTACCTAAAAGTAGGTAACCGCTAGATGTCACTAGTCGCTACTCCCTACGGTTCTTTAATTGAAAGTGAAAGTACAGCTTGATTAAATTCATGTTGTCCGTGAATGTCAAATGCGCAGGAGCATTTGCTCATATATTTAAATAAATAATATAAAATCTTTATTTATTAACATATTAATACACTATTATTGTTTCCTTTGTTTATTGCTCCTACCGAGGATTGTCTTCTTGATTTTGCGTATCTCGCGAACAAGATGAGTTTGTTCAAGCCTGCACAGTGACTATATAAAAACAGTGACGACAATAGGAGTTCCCGCCGTTCCATTAAATTAAAGTAATCTTTAAATTTGACGTAAAATATATTTCAGTTTTGCTTTTACAAATATTCAGGAAAATTGACTGTAGACGAATTATACAATTGTATATTGTAGTGCTCATAGAAATACGAAAAAAGTGATATTCTAAAAATATTTTTTTAGGATATCAAGGACCAATGTACAGAAAAATGTAACTGCTTACTGGCGCACGTAGTGAGAGACCCCAAATCCGATCTATTGGAGCCCATTATACTGGTGAATTGCTCATACAGAGACCTCACGGAACTTCCCTCAAAACTGCCGCACAAGACTAACATTTTGCACCTAGAAGGAAATTCGATAGAAAATCTCAAACCGCTCAAAACCAACCCGGCATACAGAAGTCTGATGGATTTATATCTGGACAATAATAAGGTCAATAGTATTGGTGTGTTGGAAGGGTCCCATTGGCTGACGCACCTTAGGGCGTTTTCTTTAAAAGGAAACAAATTGATCAAGGTAGGAGACATTTCCCTGTACTCCTTCAAATTGATGGGATTTGTTTTATTTATTTTCCAGTTACCTGTGTATGCCCTGGACAACGCCTTAGAGAAAAATATAAATATGCCCAACGCAGTACGGATTCTTTTTGGCGGTAACCCCTGGCGCTGTGACTGTGTATTCGTTCCAGTATTTCAGGTAAATTTTGTTCTTAATATTTAATAATATACCACTAATTATAACCATCTTGCTTCAGGAAATGCTTCAAAAATATGCACCACAAATCAAGGACATCAACGATATTAGATGTGCATATGTTGAAGGGGACGAAAATTCATTGTTACCAGTACGTCTATCCAATTTGACGCCACTAATCACCAATAATTGCATTTCTTTTTTTTAGATAGCTGAGTTATCGAGAAGCTCAGTATGTAAATATCCCACAGAATATTCCGTACAAGAAGCTTTAGACCTGCTAAACGCCGTGTTGGCCTGCCTCATATTGTTTATTCTGGGCAAACTGGCCTATGACTATTACCACTTCAAAAGGAGTGGTCGTCTGCCATGGATCGTTACTAAAATGCCTTAATTCCATTGTTTATGTTATATTTATGTCTGTTTCGTGTTGAGTTTTCAAATAAATATTATTTTTTGAAAAGTGTTGCACGTTTTTTTAGTCGTGGAAACGAAATTTTCAATAAAAAAAAATTAACCTTTTTCTGAAATATAATGTAACTATGCATTTTAATAATTTTTACATAAATTAAAGTGGAAATTCTATATTTAACTGGACTGAAAAGAATTAAATCAATTTCGCTGAAACCCAAAAGTTTTGATATTTACTAGTCATTTTTGTCGCCGTTCTACAATTATAAAATCAATGATTTAATATGACACTGACAGCGCCATCTAGTGACGGCCGTTCTCAACCCATTTGATTCACCGCCACTAAATTTCATTAGATAAAAAATCCCACTAGTTATAAAACTTGAACTGTCTACACGCCATTAAATAAAACTATTAGGACAAAAATTCATAATTACAGATGAGTTCGAAGTGTTTCGTACCGAACTGCAAAAACACTGTAGGCGTACTTTTTCCCGAGGAACCAAACCTCAAGAAGAAATGGCTGGAAGTTTTGAGAATTAAAGATGTGAACCCTAACCTTACCAGCTTTGTGTGTTCGAGACACTTTGAGGACGCCGATTTAATCGACAGCGAAGGCTTAGGTAACGCCTCTTTAAAAAGCTTCCAGTGCATGTAAAATATATAAATAAAATTAGTTACAGTCAAAGAAGGAGCTTTACCTACGAAGGTTGCTGTAAGTACTACTAACAATGACAAAGATGTTGAATCTAAGAGCCAAGAGCTTTGCGAAGATACTGCTGAGAGCCATGAACAAACAGGTGAAGTACAAGTGAAAATTGAGGCTTGTACAGCAGTTGAGGATGAAATTGATGAGGAAATAAATAAAATGCCTTGTGAAAACACAAGTAATGGTGACGACACGGTAAATTGTCCTGAAGAAAACTCTACAGATGGTGATAACTGTTTGACTTCTAAAGAAGTCACTAATGAATCTGTTGTAGAAAATGAGGAATCAGGTAAGTATTTTAATCAATCAATTTGATGAAAGCTCAGTTAAACACTTGTAGAATCACCAAAAACACTTGTAGAACCACCAAGGACAAAGCAAGAAAAGAAAACATGTAGATTATGTGCGGAAGAAAAATCGGACGTGAAAAACATATTTGAGGAAAAGATAGAAAATGTACCTGCATGTGTTGCCATCATGGAATGCATATATCCCATTGAGGTACGCTCTGTTTACACCTGTTTCACATATACTACTAGTTAATATTGTGTTTTAGATTTTAAAAAGTGATAAACTGTCAAAGGATATCTGTACCAGTTGCTTAGAATGTATAAATTCCTACTTCAAGTTCAGATCCGTTTGTTTAGACAACGACAAGAAGCAGAGGGATATACACGGTGAGGACAAACTTATCCTAGACGATAAAAGCTCCTTTAAACGATCGTCTGACCAAAAACGAAAAGCAGAGCTGAGTGCCGGCGCGTCTTCCAGCAAAAAACTGCGTGTACATGAAATTTTAAGCGATTCGGAGGACGATTACGATGATCGAGACGACCTGGAATCTCTAAGTGATTTCCTTGTGAAGAAAAACGATCCTTTAGAAAGCAAACCGAATTTTCTGTCTCCACCTCCGCTAGTTCCTCTGCCAGCTCTGTCTTCCCGACAGGCCGCGATTAAAGCAAAGTTCGACAAAGTGGAAGAAGAATTGAGGAGAGTGTTAGAAGGCCAGCTTACAGAGGAGCAAGCCAAGGCGGAAAACATCATAATCCACGTCGAGAACGACGACGAACAGTCTCCGGAAAAAATAGCGACACTTTCGAAATTGAAACTTCCCATCGTTATCAAACCCGTGGAAACGAACAGGGTTAAAAAAGTGGCTCAAGGCGTCGTTTCAATATGGAAAAATACGGAACGTCCGAGTTCGCTTACTACTGTGAAAACCGGACTAAAAGAAGAAGTAAATTTACCAAAATGTATTAATATTACAATTAAGAACAACTACAAATCTGAGATTGGAGTCTTTGAGGGGACGTCGATAAATTATGTGTATGACGTGGAGTTCTGTCAGATTGATGGGTATTTGTTTGAATATAGGCTTTGCAAGGGCACTCTAAGGTAATATTTTTGAAATCAGAAGTGGGATATTTTTTGTTTTCTCCAATTCCATCTTAAACACTGATTTTTTTTTACTAAATTTCATTTAAATCGAACAAAAGCATTTGAGTTATGTGCAAAAAACTAAATTTTCAGGAATCTGTAAGGGAAACGTTACACCCTAATTTTTAACCTATACCTTTTTTAGGTTTTTGCGATGCGTTCTCCCAGCATGCCACGCCCTAGGTGTCCAAAATCGCATTAAACCCACCGTGTACAGCTCCGAAATCACCGTACAGAGACCGCACAACCACAGGAGACCCGACGAGGCGGAAAAGAAGAAGCAGATGTTCTATTACGTCATGAAACGGAAGATGCAGAGTGACAAGACCCTCAATTTCAGAAGCGTCTATGACGAAGTTTGTAAACAGTAAGTTCTAATGAAAAAAATCGTATACAAAGCTTCAGTGCGATTTTCTGATGCAGCGATCCAGAGATCAAAGAACTGGTACCGCTAAGAAACGTCATAAACGAGATCTGCCGTCACCAGCTCACTTACAAAATACCGCCCATCAATTCGTTCGATCAGTTCTACAACCACGTCGAGGACGACGCCTTCCAGAAGTTGCATTTCACCCACAACGGCGTGCAGTTCTACCAGGAAAGATTCACGGCGGAAGACGACTGCAAGGCGGTGGTTTTCGCTAATGCCGATATCGTAGAGCAGGTGTCTTACGGTAATTTGATGTATATCGACGCCTCGTTCAAGATAGACACCACCGAGGAGTTCAAGTACCAGCTCGTGACCGTCTTGGTGTGGATCGAGGACAGCGTAAGTTAAAAATAATTGCATAGTATTTTTTTTTGCAGATGTTTTTAATGCGCTTTGGTATTTTTCTTTTTTTTTTGTACTTCTACTTCAGTTTTAAGTCATTGATAGGTCTAATGATGTATAAATGGGCTTAATATGGGGTCCTTGAGGAATAACAAGTGTTCCTTTAAATTTTCTTGCAATTTATACATTTTAATACACTTTTGAATTTTTATTTCTTATATTTCTAATTTGCTTTTAATCCACTGTACTTCTTTAACACACTTTTGAATTTCATTGTAATGACTTACAAAATAGTCCAGACGTTATCTGTTTTAAAATGTCCATATTTGGGTGAATCGTACAAATGAAAATTTTTCTACGTGCGTAAAAAAAACGTGGGCTTAACTTTTGGCGGCACAATATGTTAAAAAAATTTGAAAAATGTCATTTTTCTTCCTATTTAATTATGTATCTTTTCAAGAGTTGGTTTTAGGTGAAAATGGAAGAGTATAAAAATGTTTGTAATTAAATTTTTTACAAAATATGACAAATCGAATGAATCATGATTATTATGGTAAAAATCGAAAAAATCGACAAAAATGGTGTTAAAAAACATTACTTTTTAGGGAATTTTTTGGGGTCTTTAAATTGGGTGTAGAAACTTCATACTTGGCTCAAGAAAACTTCATGTTTTGTAGAATTATCACACCAAATTTCATCAACATCGGTTTTATAGATTTTGCATAATTTTGCAATCCAAATTTTGAAAAAAATTTGCAAATTTTTAAAATTTTGCACAGTAAAAACTAAGGCCCTTAAATACTTGAATATTTAATCCCATATAGAAGGGTTCTCAAGCTTTCAAACGCCTTTTGAAAAATTCAAATCCGTCAATTAGAAGGGCTCTGGCGCTTGTTAAAACATTGGTCGAATTTTTGTACTTATAAACAATTACACACAACTTTGTGAATATTCAACCAAATCAAATTTTTTAAAATAGGTTTTAAAGGTTCTTGGAAAGACGCTTCTTTAAAAAAAAAAAACAGATCGATTGGTCAATTAGTTACGTAGTTATAGCCGATCAAAGTTAACCGTCATTTACACTAAATGTACTGGGACATCCGGGCTAATTTTTCGAAAAATACCTTTGGTATTCCGAGTACTTACCAGGTCTAAGTTTGCAATACTTTTCTTCATTGGCAACCAACTTTAAAACGTGTTTAAAGTTATTTATGCATGCGAGAAGTTCTAGAAAATCGTATGGGTGGTGGTGGTGGTGGGGGAAGCAGAGAGCGCAGCCGCTTCGGCCTGCTCGAAATTGAATCGGCGAGTTCAAAACCGCTACGCACTTAAAAATTTTTACTATCTCAGCTTCTAGAGGTCTGATTTTGATGATTTTTTTTTTAATCGATGTCTCGCGATAAAAAAAAAACAATTAGCATATTTTCAAATGCCTATCGTTAATAATTATTGATCTTTCAACAGTCCGATAATTATTTAACTTTAAACTTCCTTTAATTATCAACTTTATTTTTTTATCGTATCAAAGGTAAGTGCATAAACTTATATACCGTTTATCAAAGATCAAAAACAAATTTATTTAAATATTCTAAAATTGTTTAAACAACAATTATTTTCAAAATATGTCGAAAATTAGTAATATAATGAATTAATTTCTCATTTGCTTATATTTTAAACAATAAATAATATTTGAATTATACTTCAATCACAAAAGAAATGATGACTAAATTAATAAATCAGGATTTAAAAAATTTACACAAATTTTTGTTTTAAATTTATGAATGTATATTATATTTATTTATACAGGGTTATCCAAGAGTCCCGGTACGGCTGAAAAACTTTCGAAGAAAGCATTTTGAAAAAATAAGTAGGGATTTTTCCCTGGCTATTTGATGGTGACCTTGGATTTGACCTTCAAGGTCATTTGAAGGTCAAGTTAAGTTTTTTAAATGGAAACCCCTATTTTTTATTACGGCTTTGGAAAGAGCTGAAATTTAACCTTCAAATACGACCTTGACTACGACTTTGACAATGACCCTAAAGATCATGTCAAAGTCAGGTTAATTTGACCTTGAAGGTCATGGTCAAGGAATTGGTCAAGGTCATAGTTAAACGTAAAATTCCCTGCTCTTTCCAAATCCGCAATAAAAAATAGGGGTTCCTACTAAAAGAAAATTACTTGACCTTCAAATTACCTTGAAGGTCAAATCCAAGGTCACCATCAGATAGCCAGGGAAAAATCACACTTTTACTTACACTTACACTTTTGTCTGGAACATTTTTTCCCAAAATGCATTCTTCGAAAGTTCTGCCATACCGGGACTTTTGGAAGTCGACCTACATTTGACCTTGAAGGTCATTGTCAAAGTCATGGTCAAGACCATCTGTGGACGTAAAATTTCCTGCTCTTTCCAAATCCACAATAAAAAATAGGGGTTTCCATTTAAAAAACTTAACGTGACCTTCAAATGACCTTGAAGGTCGAAGTCAAGGTCTAATCCAAGGTCACCATCAGATAGCCAGGGATAAATCCTTACACTTTTGTCTGAAACATTTTTTCCCAAAATGCTTTTTTTGAAAGTTTTTTCGCCGTACTGGGACTTTTGGATAACCCTGTATGTATAAAAATATAAATTAAAAATTTAATCGAACTTTTTTACATGGGATTACGTTTTCTTCTTCGATAATATATACATCAACTTCTTCATCTTCAAACTCAAGATAGTTATTGATTTCCGCGTTGTCTAACACCACATTCTATTTTAAAAAATTTGATTTGGTTGAATATTCACAAAATTATTCTAATTGTTTATAAGTACAAAAATTCGATTAATGTTTAAACAAGCGCCAGAGCTCTCCTAATTGACGGATTCGAATTTTTCAAAAAGCGTTTGAAAGCTTCAGAGCCTTTCTATATGTGATTAAATTTTCAAGTATCTAAAGGCCTTGGTTTTTGTTGTGCAAAATTTTGAAAATTTACAAATTTTTTTCAAAATCTGGATTGCAAAATTATTATGCAAAATCTATCGAACCGATTTTGATGAAACATGAAGTTTTCTTGAGCCAAGTATGAAGGTCCATATCCAATTTAAAGACCCCAAAAAATTCCCTAAAAAGTAATGTTTTTTAACCCTATTTTTGTCGTTTTTATCGATTTTTACTATAATAATCATGATTCATTCGATTTGTAACTAGTCATATTTTGTAAAATATTTAATTGCAAACATTTTTTTCCTCTTCCATTTTCGCCTAAAATCAAGTCTTGAAAAGATACATAATTAAATAGGAAGAAAAATATGACGTTTTTCGAATTTTTTTAACATATTGTGCCGCCAAAAGTTAAGCCCACGTTTCTTTTGATGCACATAGAAAAATTTTAATTTCTAGTGATACTTCAAAGCCAAAAAGCCAAAAATCTCTGTGAACATACGATTCACCCAAACCAAAACGGATACCGCTTAGTCTAAAAATGTTGTTCATCGAATAATAACAATTAAAAAATATTTAAATTCACAATATTTTCAGTATTACCCAATACTCTACGCCCTGGTCAACAGAAAGACCCAGGAAATCTACAAAAAAATCTTCGAGTACCTCCACGACAGCCTCGCCCCAAAATTGCGACCACACGAAATCGTCACGGACTACGAGGCCAACCTTTACTACGCGTTGGGGGAGACTTATCTCGATTCCGCCATAGGGGGATCGGTTTTCTACTACACCCAGAACTTGTACAAGAAAATCTGCGCCTTGAACCTATCCAGGGACTTGGAAACCAACTCCTACTTCCGGAACATCTACCACATGCTCCTGATGTTGCCGTTGCTGCCCGTCAACACGATTTTGGACGGGCTCAACAACATGGAGATACAAGCTAGGGATCTGGGCTTGACCGACTTGACGCGACCGATTTTCGACCACGTCCGGACCGAGTGGATCATGAAAGTGACCCCGGATCTGTTCTGCGTCCACCGACTGGAAAGTCGGATAAACGAGAACGTTATAGCCCCGTTTAAGAAACTCAGGGACTTTATAATGTTGTCGAAGGGCAAGATGCAGCGGCAGCACACTACGATCGTCACGGTTGTGGAGAAGTTGATAGAATTGGAACATTTTCTGCAAGTGACGTACTCGGCGCCGAACAAAAAGTCGTTTGCGAGGGACCTGAGCAGCTCGCAGAAGAAAAACGTCCTGAAGGCTTGGCAGTACATCGAGAGCCACCCGAAAATCAATATAAACAACTTTTTTTCCAAAGTTCTCGGGTATATCAAGTGCATGGAGAACCAGTTGTGGATATGGGGCTTTTACAGGTACGACGGGGACGTTTCGGACGATTTGATCAATGCTACGAACTTTTCTATCGTTTCTAACGATGCTGAGGTGGTAGAGCAGGGCGAAGACGCGGAACAACTGGATTCTGAGTACGCGGAGACGGAGGGGGAAGCCGTTGGGGAAGGAGAGAACGGACAGCTGGTAATGGAAGCGGTAATCGATGAAAACGGAGGGTTTGTGTTGCAAAACGGCGACAGTGGGGAGCAGAGCACTCCGTTCGAGAATGCTTTTCTGAAATACGTGTATAAAGAATAATTTTTTTCTGACACTTTCGTGGTCTGCAATTTGTAAGAAATATAGCGTTTACTTTTGAAAATGTGTTGTGTTTTATTCACTCGTAAGGTTTCTCAAATTCTTTTCATATTTTTAATAATTTTTTAATATTTTTTTTTAATATACAGGGTGTAATTTTGAATAAACCTTTTTTTTCCATAATTTTCGTTCTCTTCCATTGGAGAGAATTCCTAACTACATGTGCTAGACTCATCGTTCTTGAACTAAATACATTCCTTTTCATTTACAGAAATTTAACAATGAGTACACACAAACACACCAAACCCTCTATTAATTGTCGGTGTTGCGAGAAACAACTACTCCGAGGGCTATATGCCCCTCCCGGCATTGAATTATACACGCAACACCTAGTGCAATGTATTTCCTTGTCGTGAAGATACGACGCAAAACAGCTGGATCGTTCGTCGGTTGTCTCACCTATGACACACTGATGAGGACTAATAAGTCCGAAACCGGTCTGTGTCTGATGGGTTAAACTGACAAACGATCCTAGGTGTTGCGGGTATAATTCAATGCCGGTAGGGGCACATAGCCTTCGGAGTGGTTGTTTCTCACAACACTGACAATTAAGACATTGTCTTCACCCTCTGTGGGTGGCAGTCGTGCAACAAGTACCTGCAATATAGCAGGTCGCCTCCTAGTGTAGTCATTTTAATGGCACAGTTGGGAGTCAGCATGACAGATGGAGCCATTTGTGCTACCGTGTACACACCAAACCCTCGTTAAACACAGAATTAAATAAATATTCTCATGAACTGATAAAATTGAAACAAATAAAAATGTAATAAAATGAAGCGGTGACATATTTGGTTGTTATTGGTTTGCAGAATTAACATTGGTCCTTTCTTTTCTCGCTTAAGAGGGCTCTACAGCAAATAGGCAACCAGCAATACATTTTCATAGATTTTATTACACAGTTTGTCTAAATATAAATCAATGCACAAATAACAGACTTTCTCCCATTCTAACGCAGATTTTCTATAAAATGGACTTAGTTTGAAGCACAAATTACATTTTGGTGTAATAGACCAAGAAATAAAGGTGAAAAATCATCGAGAAATCGTGAAAATTACTGTGCGTGATTTTATTGTTGGAAAGTCTTGGGAATGATAATACAAGAGGCGTTTCATCTCGTGGGTCATGAAAAAAGTATAGCGTCGTTTTTTATCAACAAATAAGTAAAAAATTCAGCATTTTTTGTTCTATGCGTTATTGTAAAAAAACTATTAATCTTAGCAAAAAATGTTCAACAGATGATTTGATCTAGAGAAACTCATCTTTAAAATGAGACGTTATAAGTTAAAATTGTTTTATAAACAAAAAATTTATTGCAAAATTAAACGGAAAAAGTGATTTTTCTTTAATTGTTAATAATTTTTCAAATAATTAATAAAATCTTACCAAACTTTCCCAAAATGTGAGTTTTTATATCCTTAAGAGATGTGCAAAAGATGGGCTCGATCGGTCAAATAGTTTTTGCAAAATTCCATTTATTTATCCCATTTTTGCAAAAAGGCCCATTTTCAAATGACTATTCCGGGGACCGGGTTATGACTAAAACATTCTTTTTGGGCCTTTTTTGCAAAAATGGGATAAAAAATGGAATTTTGCAAAAACTATTTGACCGATCCAGCCCATCTTGTACATCTCTTAATATAAAAACTCGGATTTTGGGAAAGTTTGGTAAGATTTTATTAATTATTTAAAAAGTTATTAACAATTAAAGAAAAAGCAGTTTTCCGTTTAATTTTGCAATAAATTTTTTATTTATAAAGCAATTTTATCTTATAAGTCTCATTTTCAAGATGAGTTTCTCTAGATCAAATCGTCCGTTGAACTTTTTGCTAAGATTAATAGTTTTTTTACAATAACGCGTGTACAACGAAAAATGACGAATTTTTGACATATTTGTTGATACAAAACAATAACGCTATACTTTTTTCATCAGGTGGATTGATATTATGTATTTAGTTCACCCAAATGTCACTGTCCGAGATTATTGACACTGATATTCATAAACTAAACACAGTGCTTTAAGGGGTTAGGCCACCTTAGAGCGAGACATATTTGCATATTTCGGGACTTTTATTAAATGAAATAAAGGAATAAATTGAATTTATTATACTACTAATGAATTACAAAAGAAAATTTTTTCATAGTAATTAATAAAAAAATAGCGACTTAACCGCATTTCTTCGTCAACGCCTTTTTTTTCAAGAGGTCCACGGCTAAAAATGTAACTTGTGCAATTTTTGACCTGGAACAAAAAAAAATGCTTCCGATTGTATACAGAGGGTATATCTTTGAGAGGGGATCATACAGAGGTTACCTTTCCTACCTTTGATCTATAAAAACACGTATCAATAGTTTATTTTTTCAAATTTCATTTTCTTTTTATGTAAAATACTTACAAATATTAATTAGAATGTTCCAACCATGGAGACAATCAAATGAACGTAGAGGTAAGTGTCATTTAATCGACAACAAATCATATTACACGATGCACAGGAAAATTAATTTGATATATCGGATTCAAAAAAAAAAATAAATTCTGCACCGCATTTAATTTTGAAAAATCGGGCAAAATAGACACTGGTTAAATTTTTGAAAAGACGTGTTGCATAACTTATGTTAACATTTTTAATTTAAAACTATTTGGGGTATCAATTAATAAGAAGTTTTTTTACATTTTATTAAAGAATAAATTAAGTAATGGATTTCTGTTGTGATTATATGGCAGCTTAATTATACAGGGTGTCCCAAATTATAGGCATATAGGCCATTAAGATACTAAGTCAAAAACAGAAGAAACTGAAATAATTAACTATACAGGGTGATTCACAACTTATCCATCAAAATTTGGGAATAGATGCAGCATGAAAAATTGAGTAAATACCGTAAAAAAATTTTTTGTAAAATCCTCATATCTTCCGAGAAAAAATTATTGAAGTTGTAGTACTTTTCACCATTACATGGCTGGACAACTGTAGTCTAGAGTCATTTGCGTTGTGCGCTTTACGCAATGGGCGTAGAGTCACGTGGCCCCAGCGACTTCGAATACTCAAATCCGATTTTACAATTAGTATTAACGTCATTGCGATAGTGTTTACCATAGTTTTTTAGTAGTTAGTGTCAAAAATGGCTTACATGTATAGCAACTTGGAGTTGATGGGAATTGTTTTAATTTATGGTGAAGCAAGGCACTGCGTAGAAACTGTGTAAGAGGGGTCCAAATGTGTTTACACGTCTGTGGACAAAACAGTTGTAAATCAGAGGTATGTCAAATTATTTTATTAAGTAAAACCACAAATTAATTTCATTAATTAACAATAACAATAGCGGCAAAAGCAGTTAAACTTGCTGATATAAAATATGTGATAAAATTCTATTTATTTCTTTCCTTGGGAAATTCTTTCAATATAAGTTTTTGTCCATTTTTTATTACACTTCTTGTGTAAGGTCAGGTTTTATAGTGAACCACTTTCCAGTGCCGTGCAGAAGTGTATTTTGAAATAATTTTCAAATTGCCTTTTTGATTTTTTTTTCAAAATTGTATTTGTAAGAGTCCCTTGTACATCCACATTTTTTTTTACAGCACTTAGGCCTCATTGGGCCCCTTGTGCATCCTCTTAGTGAGAGATCAGGTCTCGTGAGCCATCAGTCAACCTATCAAGGAAAAAAAGGCCACCGTTTTCCTAGCACGGATTCTCTCATTGACGAGACAGCAGTGCACTCGCAGAGTACATGGAAAACTGTCTCGTCTTCCTGCGCACAACCTCGGCAGAGGGGTGTTTCACTTTTTTAGGTGCCAATTCTGATATATAGGCCTAATATTTTTTCAAAATTTTCAAAAAAAAGACTATTTCCATGTTTTCTGAATTAATCGAGAAAAATCATTTTTTGAATTAATCGAGAAAAAAGCGACACGGGAGAATAATTTGTCTTTTTCGTTGAATAGTTAATTATCCTAGCAATCCAGTAGGTGAGACCAAACAGATATGTAGAATAATTTCATATTATTAGATATCTGATGAAAAAAAAATGTAATACAATTTTAAGTTCTATTTAATTAAAAATATTTTGTTTGAACTTCATTTGTTTTTACTTACCTACTATATTTACAAACTTATAAATTGGAACACCCTGTATATACATTATTTTGTAACTATTGGCATGCAGTACATTTGTAAAAGCAGAATGAAACTCAAAAGTAATAAAAGCTTATTTATTTCGTAACTAAAAAAAATAAATCGACCATTAAAATTTAAATTAAATACAATCATGCTTAATCGTTAATTAAAAACTTTATAGCTTGTCTTGCAAAACTGTAATCAAATTAAAAAGGAAACTACGCTATTTACACTTTTACGATAGAAATCATTTTCTTGCTAAATCTCCAAAATTCCAACTGAACGAAAAATTTGTTTTAAATAATTTATTGACATATCAATAACATTAGAAAACCTTAAACTAAACTTAGTACAGCAAATTTAACAATTCCATGAAAAAATAACCAACCACTTACAATCCTTTAAAACAACCACACCGACACGATCGACAGTGCTCTAACTAGTGGAGGTTAGCTTCGAAGGTTGGACTATGGACGTCTTTCTCACCGGGATGGTCTCTGGGGTAGGAATAGCCTCCCCTGTTGCAGTAAAAGGTGTAGGACCGGGTAATTTAGCTGCCGGTTTGTTGATTCCTCCCATTTTCTGTTTGGCCATTTGGTAGTCCCCGGAATCGAAGAACTTCTGGCCTTTCGCCAACCTTTTCTGCAAGAAAGCCGAGTGTCCTCCAGCCAGGCGGCCCGGGGGGGCGCCAGGGGCCCCAGGGAGAGCGTACTTCGCCTTCAACTTGGCCTCTTCCTGCTTTTCTAACTCTTGGGGGGAAAGTTCTTCCTGCATCTGTTCCATTTGGTCACATTCTTGATCAGTCATGTTTCTGTGTTTTGGAAAATGTTAAGGTTTAGCCTAAAATAATGAATTTCTGAAGGAAAAATAATAAGGTAAAAATGACTTTTTTAAAATGCAACTCACCTAAAGCGTAGGAGACAGGTTGTGTTGTTTCTTGTATCTGTTTACTTTCTTAATTTTCTAAACGTAGTTTTTGATTATAGATGAGTGAATCTAGAAAAACAGATGCTTTTTTTATTTCTTTAAAAAATCGACAAAACAAATTAATGATGTTTGTTGATCGAATGAAACTGGAATGAAAGTTGATAAAAACGCAAAAACGGTTATAAACGTCTAACTTCAAGGCATTCATAGATGTCGGTTTTGAAAATTAATTGAAAACGAAAACTGCGATTAAATATTTAGTATCCACGAACTACTTGCACCCTTACAAAATTGAACACAAAATTATCTTCAAGCCATTAGTTACCTCAATTTTAAACGGATAGGGATAATAGATAAATGTACAAAATTAAATAATTAATAAAATATTGTTGTCCTTGGTAGTTCAATTACCTTAGAACATTAAATATAAAGAACAGAGATTAGATTGATCAGAATTTCTCACAGTGACCATGACCACAGTTTTAAAGAAGTTAGGCGGTCGGCTGATAGGAGGCACCGCAGTCGACGTAAGATTAGTGATGGGCATAATCGACCAATTTTGATAATCGAGTTCTCGGTAATCGAGTACTTCTAATAATCGAGTGATCACTCGAGATACGAGATATTGGTCGTTTTCATCCCAGCGGCGCACAAATATGTTTGTATAGTCATATATTACTTATAAGCGTAGCTAAAAAAAAAAAAAAAAAACGCACGCACTTCAAAACCTAACCACTTTTTCGTTTTATTCTAAAAAAAAGGTTACGCACTCAGTGACTATTTGCAGTATGCAATAACATTTTGGGGTGCAACCGTAGGGTAATAATCACTCGAGTGGTGGGAGTAAACATCTCGAGATATCTCGAGTAATCTTAATAATCGAGTACCACTCGATTTTTCACTCGAAATTTCCCATCACTACGTAAGATATAAGAACGGGTTACTCGAAAAGAGAATTTGTGCTTAAAGTTTATAATAGGATAATAAGAGTAATTTTTATAAATAATATTGATAAATGCATAACTTTTCAGACCTAAGGGCATAGATCGCAATGACCTTTGGACGTCAAAATTTGAGGATCAACTAATACTTTGACTTAACTACCTAATAAAGTTAATGAAATCAATGTTACAGAATGGCAACGACCCTCACACAAGTGATTCTATTAAATTAAAACCAATGCCATAATATACTTGATTCCTTTGTAAAGTTATTTCTGTTACATCGTACTTATAACCTAACATGACTTGTATAAATCCATTTGGGGGAGTTTATGACCATTCTATTAGGGAAAAAAGAACTGTGACAAAAAAATACATCCTTGAAAGTGAAATTTGTGTAACGCACAACAAATTCGGATCCCGACACATTTAACACGAAGTACGAAACGGAACAGGAAAGAACACAGAACACAGTGAATTTCGGGTTGGTAAGTTTTGTAACATTTCTTATGTTTGTCATTATTTTCCGAATATTCGAGGTCGTTCTTGGTCAGTGGTTATTGGTAGTGAGCGGCTTTTTAATTTCTTTGCTGCCGATTATTGTAAAAAGCTTTGCTAAATTTAGTACAAAATGCCTAAACATAAGCCTACCAAGGACGAAAGCTCCGACTCCGATTCAGGTCCAGAGGATGTAAGTATATATTTTTCCTACACTAAACCTAACCTATACCGACGCTTTCATTCCCTCCATAGAGAGGACCGATAAAGAAGCCGAAATCCGATGTTAAACCAAAGCCTAGTAACTCCAGTGAAGATGAAAATAGCTGGGACTTGGGGAAAAACCGTTTCGTTAAGCTGTCAGAGTTCAAAGGTAAATGGTACGTTAACATAAGGGAGTTCTACAACGATGATGGTGAGCTGAAGCCAGGTAAAAAGGGTATCATGCTGACCATGGAGCAGTGGCAGAAGTTCAAGAACTGCATAAGCGAATTGGATGACGCCATAAAGAGAAACGTCTAGGTTAAGCACTATTTATTCCCCGTTTGTTCTGTATGTTAGGATGTTGTCTTTAAATGAGTTGTTTGTTGGCTTTGTAAAGTGGTTTAGTCTCTTAAGGATTAAAGTTTTTTTGTACCAGTGTACCTAATAAATAAAATATTAATACAATGGCCGTATTTTTGTACTAAATTTTAAGACGTAGTTTTAATCAAACGAGCACTTTGTCAAATATATTTTAGTTTGTATTGCATATGTAGTGTAGTAGTTGAACAATAATAATTTTGATACAAGAATAAACACAATGTACGCCACTTTTTTTTTAATTTGGCACAAAAAAGATTTCAGGAAACGGCAAAAACAGTCAGTGGGCTGATTTTATAAATTTAATTTTGCGTAAGTACAAATATCTCGCATTAAGAAAGTTGATAGTTATTTCATTGTTCATGTTTATACTACAATGCACGGCAGAAAGGTTTACAAAACATTAACGACAAATCTAGTTTATGAGTGAAATATTTCTGGTAAGATAAAATTAAAATTATAATATCAACACATTTCTTCAGTAAAAAATGCCAAAATAATTACAGGCAATGTAATGTTGAGTACATAGTACTTGGCACATTTTAAAAGTTAATGATTATTTTCAACAAAAATCAAATTAAAAATTTGCACAATCCCTACTATTATAAATGTGAATGTAAGTTTGTTTGTTTATAAGCTTTCACGCGAAAACTACTTAACCGATCATCATGAAACTTTGAACACATATTCTTGGAGGTATTAGAAGTAACATAGTATACTTTTTATTAAAAAAAATATGTTTTACGAAAGATTTTCTATATTTATCGTTTCTGGTTAGGTGTCATGTTTGTGGTTAATTTGTGATTTTAATTCTTACGCTAGTATTTTATATATGCCGTTATTTTATTAATCTTTAATAAATATTTATATCGAAAAAAAAAACAGTCTCAGGACATAATAATACAAAAGTCGACCTATATTTTACAGTTACGCTGTATATATGTTGATATTTATACAGGGTATCCCACCAGGAATCGCCACTATTTGATTCTCTATTTCAAAATAAATTCTCAACATGTTCTTGAAATTACTTTGTCACATTGTCCATAAATAACAAACAAATTAAATTAATCCTTATTCTAGGAGGCCAATGAATCCGAACTCTTTTCTTCTTCATTACACTTTTAATTAGTAAATTAGTACAGTATTACCACAGGACATATCTCATATCTCAACATTATACTCTACGTTTTTGGTTCAGTAGTACAAACTACAACTACATACACCATACACAAAGAAACCTACTTTAGCGCTGCTGGCGCCATCTTGTATAGAGAATAGGAATCTAGTTTCTATTACAGAATTGTAGTTTTCTACATGAATAACAATACTTATTAGTATATATAATTAGGCATTTTTATTTAAATTTTCGGCAAAAACTATTATAAATATAGCAATAATTTGACACCGAACTTGACAAATTTCAAGTTATTTGCATTGTTTTTCTAGTGTTTCTGGACATGGCCAATTTGATATGAGAAAAACTACAAAAAATAGAAAATTGAAAATATCTCTAAAAGAGTTACAATGCTTATATGGCTTGAAAGTGAATTTCAATTGCATACAACAGAGTAAAAAATACAGGGTGTTCCCTTTAAGTTAACAAAGTTATAGCTGTCTGAAGTTATCGAAATGTAGCAGCAAAAATCAAACGCCTAGTTATTAAATGCTTTAATTTGTTGGTATACCATAATTTAGTGTTACCTATGCCCTTTACAGGTACCAAACATCCACTTGACATCACGCTCCTGAAAAGAGTTACTAGCATCTTTGCAGACCCTTGTACCTGTCAAATTTTTTCTTTGAAAATGAATATCTCAAAATGTATAAGTCCTAGGTATAGGAAATATTTAATAAAGACCTTCAAATTTCACGTAGAATTCGAAAATGCAATAATATATAGGGTGACCAGTTTAAAATAAGAAAGTTAATGTCGGTTTCCGGTATAACCGCAAAATATTTTAGCTGTGTTGACTACTGCCTTTGCTAGGTTACCAAATTTTCAGATTTATTGGATCATTACTTACCGAGAGATATCGAATGTGGCGATTCCTGGTGGGACACCCTGTATAAATATCAACATATATATACAGCGTAATTGTAAAATATAGGTCGACTTTTGGGGCAGGAAGAGGCAAAAAAAATAAAACGTGTTCTAATAAAGGTGAACGTCTTTATCTTTCAAACCTATAGAAGATCTACTAATATACAGGGTGTTTGGTAAGTCGATGAATTCCTTGCAGGTTATTATAGTACAAGTGATTTGTGATATATTTCCTTAATATACCATATTCCGAAAACGCTTAGTTTACGATCTACAGGGTGTGCAGGTTTTAATAAAAACATGCAAATTTATAAATATTGCGGAAACCGCTCAGAATATTTTAATGAAATTTTACAGGGTTTGACAGTTAACAACAATATATGCTCTACGATAAAAATATTGTTTTCAGTTTCACCAGTGGCGTGCGCATAGGCACGTCTCTGGATATTTTTTAAGAAAAAAATTATAGCCACTGATTTTTCTTATAATAAAAATTAATTTTTGAATTTCTTGTTCAATTTGAACGAGAAAAGGTATCTCGACTGTTTTTCTTATGACACACCGTTTTCGAGTAAAAAAAATTAAAATCGATTTATTGCATGACGTAATCCGGTTTCACTAATTTGTAAAATATATATAAATATTTATAAATTTGCAGTTTTTTATTAAAACTTTAACACCCTGTAGATCGGTATATGGGATATTAAGGAAATATATCATAAATCACTTGTACTATATAACCTCTTGCAAGGAATGCATCCACTTACCAAACACCTTGTATACCAATATAAATAAAAATATATTGGTTTAGCTCTTTTGGCACAAACAAATCAAAAATAAGGTTTTTCGTAAACTACAAAAATTTCAACTATCTAAGTTGCCTAGTTGCCAATTTTCAGATAAAATCATGAGTTGCATGTGCCTTATTACTCCAATCCTTGTGATTCGTAACAGTTGTTGTTTCAAGTCGTACCTACTCATTTACTTGATGTTAACACCGATTAATCTTATAAATTGAAGCCTCTGGGAGCGATAATGCTTTGGAGTAATAAGCTTCTATAGTACGATCGTATTCGATGCAAAGTAATAAATCATTGCCTGTCAAGGGAATCAGTGCAACACATTTTATAGGGGGTTTTGGAAATTGAATAATTTTTTATGCATTATGGATTAACAGTTATATATTTATGAAGGACAAAATGAAAAACAAAGGCATCTCCTTCGCACATTGGGCGGCAGGACAACAATACATTTATTACTCCCTTTATTATCCCTCATATGACTTGTGTCTTGTGTTTTTTGCGGCGGCGCGCGTGCCGGCCTGGCGTGGTCAGTTTCGTTTCGGTTGTATTGGTGCTGCGTGTTTCTCGCTCGCGATATTTGTGAGGTTATAACTGTTATAAGTGCAATTATATTTCTTTCGGGCTATATGTGTGTTTCGCGCTATTATTTGAGAATTTGTGAGTGAAATCATATTTCTTGTGCTCCGTAACAAAAGTGTTTTTAGTGTTTTATTTGTGTGCTGTGTGTGTGTTTCGGGCTGTTGTTTGTGAATCGTGAATGCTATTATATTTTCTGTGCTAGTGAAGTGAAGTTTTTTGTATTATTATTGCTCTGTTGTCGTTATATGGATAAATGGAGGCGGTGCCTGGATGTTCGCGAGCCGGATGTACTGCTGTGGGTACAAAAAAATCTATATTAAGTTACAGAGAAAAAACGATAATATTAAATGTCTATAACCCTTTAGAAAAGGATCATCCCATGAAACTGAAGACTGGTTTGGTGGAAATGTGTTCTAGATATACTGGAGTAAGCGAATTATCTGTTTTCAAAATTTTAAGAGAGAAGAAAATTGAAGGAGACGTTAAGAAACCTAAAAAAGGGGGTGCAAAGAAGAAATTAATATTAAATGAAGATGAGAAAAATGCAGTTTGGCGTACAGTACATAAATCATAGAATTTATATTTTGTTTATAATTTGTTAACATTTCTTGTTTGATAGAAAAATAACTTATTTTGTTGAGATTGGTAGAGAATTGTTGTTAGTGTTTTCATTTGATAGAATCATATCATAGGATTTATATTTTGTTTTCATTCTGTAAATATTTATAGTATATCTGTTATACAAGGTTTTTGCTTTGAAACTTCGTTCTCCTTATAAAAAAAAGAATCGTAATGGGGTGCGATGAAGAGATCAGTTCACGTCTGGAACCCTGTTCCTACAAAAATCCCTTTATTCTCATAAACTATTTGTTTTAAATGTAATTTATTATAAATCCAATTCGTTATTTAAATTCCACATATGTACTACATTTCACCTCTGTACGCGCCACTGTTTATTGTTCCCTGCTCTACGATCAAGCTCGCCAGGTTAGTATTTGACGTATAACCGACCACTTCGTACACTCGATGCACCTGGCCGACTACAGCTAGTACCAGAACACAGTGCGTATGCGGCGGTATTTCAGATTTTACATTCAATTTCATTTTAAATTTGAAACGGTTCATCTTACGCCTCCTAAAAATGATGAAACGATTTTCCTTTGATAAAAGACCGACAATTTTTTGCTCTACTTTGCATCGTATACGATCGTACTATAAACCTGTAAAATTTTAAATACGATTTCGCTGATTTTTATTTGCTGGTTTACATAATCAATTGAGATTTAGAAATAAATTTGTATAGGTAGCAGTATCTTTAATTGTACACGTTCTATTTTTGGCGCCAAACAGGACACCCTGCGTATATTCCCCGTTAAAAACCCCCTTACAGATCAGAAAAACTTCCATCTGAAGCACCCGATCAATAAAAATTTAATTTCATTGGGCATTCGGTATCCGGTAAATATTTCCCTAAGTAATCGAATAAATCCATCACGGGAAACGTCGGAAAGTTCGCATATAGGTATGAGTTATTGCATGCTGCTATCGGGTAGTATTGATGCAACCCCGTAATATTCCGCTTTTTCTTGCGGAACCTTGTTAAGCGCTACGTAAACGAGACTGAAAGGCGCGCAAGTTTGCCCATCCCGCTGAAAAGTCAG